TTAACTAATTTTTCAATTATCTCACTTCAGAGATCATAGAAGCAAGGAGATAGAAATACCTCTTAACTCTAAACTGGCAAGCACTTAACATACTCATATGTGCATGTTTGTACATTTGTTACGAAAGAGACTTTCCCTTCTAAATGTGAACCACAGTATATTGTTTGGTAAACAATGAGATGAGACAAACTATTTGATACCATTCTCTTTTTTTCCTTCTTAAAAATAGACCTTAATTTTTCCATGCCATTTCATTAGCGTTTGCCGGATGTTTTTTGGAATATTTAGTATTCTATTGTGAATATACTATCTTTAATTACACCTGTTTTATTATCATCTAAGGGAGCCGTGGCGTAATGGAAACTACTAGTTGCTCAATGGGAGAAAGATAGAACTTTCTACTCCTATAAACAAGTAGTCTTGAGATCTCATGGGCAGACAGTTCCACCCAGTTCTATAGGGTTACTTTGGGTCATCATCGACTCCATGGCAGCCAATCTAGAATACTTCCAACTTTTTGTTCTAATCTCTTCTTAAAATGTCATTTCACTATCGTCACAAAGTATTTATTGCTATTTTATTGCTATGCTAATTAAAACTTTTTAACTTTAGAATTTAAATTTAGTATAAAGTTATTTTACAATTATGTAATATTCAATCTTAGTGTTCTTGTACATTTGTTAAGCAACCTCACTTTTTCCAAGTTTTTACTTAAGATTGTTTATTGTGATAAACTTTAGGTCAAGGTCAGCTATTCAAATAAACTAGTTGCTCCACAGGAGAAAGATGAGGCATTCTCCTTCCATAAATATTTAGTCTCAGAAACTCAAAGAGGTCATTCAATATGTACCCTTGCTTATGTGGTTGCTATGAGTCAGAACCGGCAACCAAACTCAACAGTGAGTTTGTTATTTGGTTTTGTATTTTTATGGCAATAATCGATATTGCTCTGATTTTTAAAATTAAATACCATATGGTATTCTCTGCTTGGGAGAAAGGTGAGGCTTTCTAGTCCCATAAACAGTTACAATTGAATGAATATTCTGCTCTTGCTTTTTTTGGAGCCGTATCCATATTTATCTTTTTTAACTTTTATCCTTTTAAAGTTCATGACGACAGTATTGGTGTCAAACTCCCCAGGAGAAAGCTAAGATGTTATTAATGTGGAATAGAAAGTGCATTTATTTATTTTATTTTTTGTCTTCCTTGGGTTCTGAAGTCCTAAGTCCATAATATGATTATCTTGATCTTAGTCTAACTTCTTCTCAATCTTTATTACTGTATTTTTTTTTTTTTACTCATTTGTGACTTTTTTCGGGGGGGGGGGCTTATAGCTTTAAAGAAATCTCAAAATTGATTATATTGGAAAACTGAAAATAACTCCGTTCAGCTTTTATCAGGCTTAATAGACTGCTATGTCTTTGGAGGATGAGCCTACTTTATATTTGTTAAAGGGTTTGTAGAGTGCATTGGGTCATAACAGAGGAAGATCAGTTTTGTTTATTGGTACTGCACCATAAAGGCCTCTTAAATACATTTATGTTGTACTTTTCTAAAATCCTCAGAAAGTAATTTTATCCACTTTTATCCTAGAATTAGAAACCAGTCAAAGTGGCTAAGTAAGCTTTAAGCTCTTTTTCTGTTATCTTGAGCTCTCTTCAGTCTCTGTAAACCGAAATAGCCTTTCCTTATCCTCTATGACAAGAATGCTGATTAAGTGAATTCAAGAACTGAATAGATTTGTATAAATTTTTGAAAATCTCTTATTAACCAAACTCTTATTCTTCAAAATTCAAGAATTAGGAAATGAAAAAAATTGGCTAACCTGGGATTCTTTCACAGTGTACTACCCTAACCTAACAAGCAATTAAGCTACACTTTTTTGGTGTTGAACCCTTCCACTTCTTAGAGAGTTCTTCATATTGGCATGGAATATGCTTCCTTTGTTTAATGTTTTTTTCATAGTTTATAAGTCTCTCAGGAGTCACACAGAATATGCCTATTTGTATTTTTATGATCTTTTTGTGTTCTTTTGTCCTCTTTGTGCTAACCAGTTTCAGTTGTTTTCAGAGCAGGCTAAGCTGGCATCTTCTCCTCCACAGTTACTAGCCTGTAGGAGTCAGCATTCAACAGAAGTTTTTGCTATTTTTTCCCCCTACAAAATTTAGTCCTCTAAAAGCATATGTACAACTTAAGTCTTCATTACTCAGAAGCCTGTGGGCTGACTCTTGTCCATGACCTTAACCATTTGGCCTCAACTTACCTCATCGATTATTGCCTCTCCTCTCCTAGTCCTATTTAGCCAAACTAGGCTACTATTTGTTCCTACTATCTACCCTGCCCATTCCCTGCCTTTTTGAAGCTATTTGTCTAGATTAATAGAAACAAATTACATGAAATTTCCCTTTATACAACTTTGTTCCTTAATTTTTAGATGATACTGATATTTAGTAAGCTTGTTCATGTGAAAATGTTTAAAATAGTTGTAGATTTTTGCCTTGGTGTGTTTTGTTTTAATAGAACAAGAACTAGTGATGGTTTTCAAAGCGGTTTTCCATATAATAATTAAAAAATCATGTATCTCATCTGCATGATAGAATCTGTGTTAGTGTAACATATAGGCAGTAATATGCTTAGTTATGGGTTTTATTTGTTATGTTGGACCAGGGCTGGGGACTGGGGTAAGTAAGCCCGACTGTTGTTTTAAGTAGAATTTCTAATTTAATACCGTCTGTATTTTAATTGAGGATAAAAGATGGGCAACTTGATGCAGGCATAATGCATTTCCAGAAAAGTACGTAACTCTATAGGTTTTGTTTACTAAGGTAAAGGTCAGTTAAATGTGCCCTGGTGGTACAATGGTTGAAGCATTGGGCTGCTAGCCTCAAGGTCTGCAGTTCAGACCTACTAGCTACTCCACAGGGGAGAGATGAGTCTTTCTGTTCCTATAAAGATGTAGTCTTTGAAATACAAAGGAGTGGGTCCATCCTGTCCTCCAGTGCTGTTGAGTCCAGTGAGTTTGGTTTTGGTTTAGTAAGGACAACAGGAAGTGTTTCTTTACTCTTCAAAAAGTCTTAGTACTTAATTTAAAAGACCACTTTGAAATTATAGAAATACTTTTCATATAGTAATGAGACTTTATTTTACATCAACTCTCCTGTCTTTCTCTCCATCTTACATCCTAGTCTAACAAAAGCTTCACCCTTCCTTTCAGTAACTATGAAAGGAGAGCATGAGAAACTGGTGGAGCAGAGGCTATTCTGAGTGAGGCCCTTTCTTACCGAAGGCACTTAGTGTTAAGAACAAGAGTGTTTTTAGAAGATAGTCTGTAGTCCACAGAGGTATACCTTAGTTAAAATGTATTTCTGTAGCCTTAAAAGAAGTGTATGTAAATTGATTCACTGCTTAAACAGAGTTGTGACAGAATAAGAAATAGTGTTACTTGCAAAGATATTTTAGGCCATTATGATTTTAGAAAATATTTCTTCAAAATCTTTGGTTTCAAATGATAATTTTTTTAAGTTTGTGCTTTTCATGAAATCTTTAGCACATGATGACCAAAAATACGATGCAACAAAAATACTTAACCTTCATTTGAATTGTTGCTGCTTTTCATTTTTATTATTCAGCAGTTAGGTATGGGGGAGGTCAGAGAGGAGACTTTACACTAGGTTTTTACAGTGATTTATGTTAAAGTACTAGATCTCAGCAGATTTCATATTATTTGATTCACAATTTGATTGTATTAAAAATCATCTGAAAATGAGACCTTAAAAACAGGATCTTAACTCTCACTCTCAGACGGTCAGATACAGTAGAGATATTGTTTAATCAAGACTGACTCCTTTGTGCATGTACACTGTGTGTGCCCTTGTATACACATATTCCAATTTTAACAGTCTTGTCTACTTGAACTGTATTATTTGTGTGTAGAATAAAAGTAGAAGTAGTGCCATGATTTTTTTTCTTAGTAATCACCAGGATCTAAGACCTGTGACATTTTAGAGGTTGAGACCTGAAAGCACTTGGAGATAGGATCTTCCAAGAGATTTTAGCTTAAAGATCATCTGGGTAGAAAGAAACACTCCATCATCTGAGGGCTCTTATTTGTAGTTTCACTGTAGCCTTTTGGGGACTGTGCCTTGGTCCTCAGTGTTTGTGTAGTCATGGAGACCCAGGTGGCCAGCAGCTGGTCTCTTGCCCCGAGGGTGTTCATTTTTACATGACTTTTTCCTTGCTGCTCTCAAAGAAAAGTCTCTACTATTGCAAGTTGGCATGAAAATAATAAATAGTGAGTGCCAGTGTAAATCTGAACAGTTTTAGGAAATAATGTTTTAAAAGAACATAAAAACCACGAGTTGCTGATCATGGAATGCATGGTGAAATATGCAGCCTAAATTTTTATAAAACAAAAGTGTAGACAACAACTACCATACTTTACGTTTAAAAACTTGCTAGTTAGCTAGGGCCTAATTTTAGTTACACATTGCTTTATTTAGAGAAATTCTGTTGTTTGACAAATTTAAGGGAAAGTGTTCTATCATGATTTTCTTCCCATAATGCCTCTACAGCATTACCAGGGCTTCTAGTTTTATTTGATTTCTGGTTAGAAGAAGCAACAAGGGAACAACAGTAAAATTACTAGAGACTGAACTACAGAGAATTCCTGTGAATTCTGAAGTTATAGAGAGAAGGGAAAAATGAAGAGTTAAAGGAAATGAGCAAAAGCAAAAATAATAACAAAGGTTAATAGAAAATTCTTAAAAGTTAAAATTTTGGCCTTGGTATAAGCAAACTGATATAATAAAATTAAGTGTTTTTAAAAATGTTAAATATCAATTTCTAAATATTTCTAAGAAATGGAAACAATGGTCATGTTGATATATGACTAAGTTTGAGGCAAATGGGGAAATATCCTACCCATTAGGTGTGCACTGTGGTGAGTGTCCTTGTGTTTACATTTGCTTTCTCATTTTTTTTTCCATATTGATGGAGAGCAGCCAGACCAAATCAATTTGGAATGCCTGGGATAGTGCCACCATATGTTCCCCCTCAGATGCTCAACATTCCACAGACCTCTCTACAAGCAAAGCCTATGGTAAGGGGATTTCTATTCTGTGGCCATCAGTTAGCAGTGCATCTGGTAGAGGACAGTTGGCCTTTAAAGTTACATTTGTGTTAAATTTTAATGTTAAAAGTTTTTAATACTAAAACAACAATTGCATGGAAAGGTGAATAGATGCAAATAGTTGTTAAATTAACAATAGACAAAGTAAAGAAAATATTAGCAAAATATGGGTTCTGTAGGCATTTGTTTCTCTTTATGAGCATGATATGTACCATTTTTGTTTTAGGCCCCACAGATGCCAAGCCCAGCTGGTGCTCCGGGTCAGGGTCCATACCCATATAGCCTCTCTGAGCCGGCTCTCACTTTGGAAACAAGTGGAAAGAATTTGGCTGAGCAGAACAACTATAGTAACATTCCTCATGAAGGGAAACATACTCCATTGTATGAACGATCCTCTCCAATAAATCCAGCTCAAAGTGTCAGTCCTAACCATGTGGATTCTACTTACTTTCCTGGTTCATCAACATCATCATCCTCAGATAATGATGAAGGCAATGGAGGCACTATGAAGTGAGTAGGACATAGCTGAAATCTTCTAGAGAGAGAGAGAGAGAGAGACTGCCATTGACTTACTTTATAGTTCTTAGTTTGCCCGCAGGAGAGACTGCCATTGACTTACTTTATAGTTCTTAGTTTGCCCGCAGGAATTCTGTGTTCAGCTGGCTACCCTATTGGACTGAATGTTCTTCTTAAAGGCCCAATTTGTTGCTGATAATTGATGATGATTATTTTGTGTTTGAACTGTAGCTAGTTGGACATTGAAGAGAGAGGAAGTATACGTTGTATATAATTAAACTGAGGTTTCTAGGATTTTAATTTTGTATTATATTAGTCCCATGGCTTAGAAAATTTCTGAAAAAACACACAAAACCAAACTCACTAATGAAGGCCGAACATGATGGTGGGACAAAAAGGAAGTAAAAAAAAAAATAGAGGAAAGAACCAGGAGGCAAAGAACATTTATAGAGACCTAAATATAGGCATGTACGTGTGTGTGTGTGTGTGTATACATAAAAATATATATATAATGAGAGGGGAATAGAGCTATGCACTCATACTATATGTTAAGAATTAAGGTTGCAGATGGACATTGGGCCTCAACTCAAGAACACTCTCTTCTAACAATCTGGCATTCTGTGATGCTTACCTTCCCTACCCAATTGCTGAAGGCAAAATGGGTGCATAAACAAATGTGAAGAAAGCTAATGATGCCTGACTATCAAAAGATAGAGCACCTGGGGTCTTAATGGCTTGAAGATAAACAAAGGGCCATCTAGCTCAGAAGCAACAAAGCAACAAAGTACATGGAAGAAGTACACTAGCCTGTGTGATCATGAGGTGTCGATGGGATCAGATATCAGGCATCCAGAATAAAATCATACCCAAGGTGAATTGGAAGGGCGGGGGGGCATGGAGTGGAGACCCAGTGCCCATCTGTAGACAATTGGATATCCCCTCACAGAGAGGTCACAGGGAAGAGATGAGCCAGTCAGGGTGCAGTCTAGCATCATTGAAACACATAACTTTCCTCTAGCTCTTTTGTGCTTCCTTCCCGTCACTATCATGACCTCAATTCTTCCTTACAAATTGGATTAGACCAGAGCATGCACACTGCTGCAGATAAGAGCCTGGAACACAGGGAATCCAGGATAGATAAACCCCTCAGGGCCAACAAAGAGAGTAGAGATACCAGGAGGATTAGGGGATGGTGGGGGGAGAAAAGGGGGATCAATCACAAGGATCAACCTAGAACCCCCTCCCAGGTGGAAAAATAACGAAAAAGTGGGTGAGGGGTGACGGAGGACGATGTAAGATATGAAAAAAATAATTATCAAGGCTTCATGAGAGAGGGTGGGCGGGGAAGGGAGGGGGAAGAAATGGGGCGCTGACATCAGGGGCTCGAGTGGGGAGAGAATGCTTTGAAAATGATGATGGCGGCATATGTGTAAATGTGCTTGACACATTGGAGGAATGTATGGATTGTGATAAGAGATGTAAGTGTCCCAATAAAAGTATTAAAGAAGGCAAAACCAAACCAAACTCACTGCCATCAAGTCTTTACTGATTCATAGTGACCCTATAGGACAGGATAGAACTGCGCCTGTGAGTTTCTGAGACTTAACTGTTTACTTGGGCTACTGTTTTTCTGGGAAAATGTTTAAAAATAATTGATTTGTGTGACTGTCAAAACACAAATGGTAAAATCTATTTAAGTTCGTGCCTTTGACCTTCATCTCTATCAAACTGATTTTTTCCCCCTATCTACAATAGCAGTTTTGTTAAGTTACATATTTTGTTTTTACATTATCTTGACTTATAGAGGAAAGAAACGCAATTTTCTCTTTTGCTAAACTTGCCAATTTCCTAAAAAATTCCAACTTAGAATATCAAGATCTTTCTTGAAACACTGCTTTTTGCTTCGCCAAGATCATAGAAAGCTACCTTCGAGCAGGCTGAGATTCTTCTGGTAAAGAAGTATTTTAAGCAGCCTGTATCCTTGTGTAAGGAGCTCTAGTGTCATAGTGGGCTACTAACCACAAGGTCAGCAGTATGAATCCATTCACTGCACTGCAAGGGAAAACCTCATCTTTCTGCTCCTGGAAATATTTACAACTTTGGAAACTCATAGGGGCAGTTCTACTCTGTCCAGTTCCTATGTGTTAGAACCAACTTTATGACATTGAGGATGAGTTTGAAAGTTAAAAAACCAAAAGGGAAGTTGTTTGGCATTGGCATTTCTAAACTGAAGGAACTGAAGGAAAAAAGTTAGCCTGGTATTGAAATATTGAAGGATTCTATGGGTAGAAATTGAATAATTCCAGAAGATGATAGTGATACAGTCACTGTTATCCAAAGGAACTGTTGTAAATTGAAACATTTCTGGAGATAGCATATGATTAAGAACCGATGGCATTGAATGAAGAAGTCTCAACATATGCTGAAGTTATTGGCTTCTTTTTTTAAAAAAAAAGAAGGCTCCAGGAATTGATGGAATACCAAATAAGATACTTCAATAAACAGATGCAGTGTCAAGAATTCTGGAAGGCCAGGTACCTGAACAAAATGACAGGGGCAAAAAACACATGTTTATACATACTTCAGAGAAAAGTAAACCTGACAGAAGGTAAAAGTTACTGAACATAATACCATTAATATCACACAAGTAAAAGTTCGCTGAAGATCATTTTAAATTACCTGTACCTATATATTTACAGGGAATCGCCAGGAATTAAAATCAGATTCAGAAGAGGATATGAAAGAAGGCATGTCATTGCTGGTTTCAGATGGATCTTGACTGAAAGCAGAAAAAACTAGAAAGATCTTTACCTGTGTTTTAACAAGTATGCAATGGCTTTGACTATGGATCATAACAAATTACAGTCCATAGCATTTCATTGTGCTGTATATGACTTATATGTGACCAAGAGTCAATTGTGTGAACCAAACAAGGGGATATTGTGGTTTAAAATTAGAAAAGGAAAGTCCCAGGATTGTGTTCTTTCTCATTCAGTATGTATGCTGAACAAATAAGACATTGAACTATGAAGCCAAATGAGGTATCTGTCATAGAGGAAGACTTAAGCAGATGCCACAGGTTAGAAGGTTAAAGACTATAACTGCTAGTATGGATTGCGCCTGAATGTGAAGAAAATGAAAATTCTCACAACTGGACTGATAAACAGTTTCATGGTAGCAGAAATAAATGAAGTTGTAAATGATTGCGTTCTGTCGACAATTAATGTTCCAGGAAGTAGCAGTCAAGAAATCCAGCAAATGATTCCATTGGCCATATCAACTAGAGAAGACTTCTGTACAGCCCTTTGTTTTGATAGTTGTGTTTGAACGAAGTCATAGGTTTTGTTGCTGTTGTTCTTTAAGCAGTTTTAGGAAAAAAGGTAGAAGAATAATGACCTTCAGACTGTGCATTGGTGAGCTATATCGAGTATACTACGGACTGAACAAATCTGTCCTAGATGAAGTAGTACCAGAGTGCTTCTTAGAAGTAGAGATTACAGGATTTTAGCTTGCTTACTTTAAATACATCACTAGGAACGACCAGTTTCTAGAAAAGACAACCTGCTTGGTAAAGTAGCTGTTGTTAGTTGCCGTTGAGTCCGTTTGGACCCATAGCAACCTTATTCACAACAGAACGAAACACTGCCCTGTCTTGTTCCATCTTCACAATAGTTCCTATGTTTGAGCCCATTGTGGCCATGCTGTCAGTCCATATCCCTGGGAAGCTGCCCTTCTACTTTACCAAGCATGGTGCTCTTCTCCTACGGCTGGTCTCTCTTTCCCTACAACATGTCCAAAATAGGGAAGACAAAGTCACCCTTCCCTCTAAGGAGCACTCTGGCTCTACTTCTTCCAAGACATACCAGTTTGTCCTTTTAGCAGTCCATGGTATTTCAATATTTTTTGCCAGCACCATAATTCAAATGCATCAATTCTTCCTCTGTATTTCTTATTAATTTGTTGTCAAATTTTACATGCATAAGAGGTGATTGAAAATACCATGGCTTGGGTCAGGCGCATCTCAGTCCTCTGGTTAACGTTTTTGTCTCATGCATCAGATTTACCTAATGTGATGTGTCTTTCGTTCTCTCACTGCTGCTTCCATGAGCACTGATTGTGATAAAGATAGAGGGTAGCTGAAACTGAAGGAAGCCTTGAGTTCGAATGACACAATAATCAAAACAGTTGACCCACATGAAGCAATGGTCATGAAGATGACGCAGGGCCAGGCAGCTTTCCATTCTGTTACACTTAGGAGTCCGAACTGACTTGATGGCAACTAGAAACAGTTAATCTTACATTGATTTCTAACATAAGAAATAGAAGAGACTTAATTTGCAATCATAGTGTAAGCTTTCATTACATAGTTACCTAAGGCAGGTTATTATACCTTTTCTGCCCTCTGAAAAACGTAATCTAATGTCTAATTACCTCTTAGGTGCAATTACTATAAATTTCTTAACATCCAAATTGTACACACTGTTTTCAGAGCAGCATGTGTAAATGTTTATTTACTCCCTGTGTAATCCTGAATTGTAAAGAGAAGTGAAAATGTAATTTAGCATTCAAACGTCTAAGAACAGGTTAATATAAAAAAAATCCACAAAAAATGTAATGAAAAGATAATGGCATTTTCCCATGAACTTTTGGAAGCCCCCCTAGATAAGCTCTTTTGTTGTTGTTAGATGTCTTCTAGCCAGTTCCAATTCACATGGAGCCTATGTATAACTGAATGAAACTCCGTGTTTGATCCTGTCCATCCTCAAAATTGTTATATTTGAGCTCATTGTTGGAGCCACTGTGTCAGTCCATCCCCTGACGGGTCTTGGTCTTTCTCTTTTTTTATTGACTTATTACTTTACCAAGCCTCGTGCTCTTTCCCCAGGAATAATCTCTCCTGATAACATGTCCAAGGTGCATGACACAAATTCTCACCGCTCTTGGTATTTAACTCTTCTGTCTTCCTTATTTAGTGTCCAACTTTCACATGCATC